AATTTTTTAAAAAATTTCTTGCCTCGACTATTTAGTTGCTCTGTGATAAAAAAAAAATAGTGAGCATCCATAGGAAACCAAGCAAGGGGAAGACTACAGCTTACTTGCTACTTTTACAGATAACCCCATATTGCTCATGGGGACTCACCACTTTTTTCTTGTGAGACGTGTTTGAAAGGTTGAGTATAGGTGCCCTGCAGTCTGAAGACCAAGGCTCCTGGAACAACTCTCCTGCTTCTAAGTTGATAAAGGACAAGTTCAGCCATCTAAGATATAAGCATAGCCAGGAAATGCATATTCCGTGTCAGTACTGACAAGTTCTGACATTACCGATGATATAATGTTGAAAGGTTTTTGAGCACAAGGTGGTTCTTAAACATTGAAGACTAAATGTTTTAGAGCATACCTGGGCATTCTCTCAAAATCTCTCAAAATCATGTTAACCAACCTACTTATAGAAAGGAATTCATCAAATACAGAAAAGTTATTCAAGTCAGTAGGGAGAAATTTTCTAGCAAATTTTATGGAATTTATCATTTATATCATTTATAAATTTATAATTTATATCATAATTTATAATGACAAAAGCTATTCAATTGATAAAATTAAAGATCAATTTATATTTCTATCTCACAAAAATGAATTTCAGAATGATTTAAGAGCCAAATGCAAACAATTTTTTAAAGCATTAAAAGGAAATATAGAGGGCTGGAGAGATGGCTCAGCAGTTCAGAGGACTTGCTGCTCTTCAGAGGACCAGAACTGGAGTCTGGTTCCCAGCATCCATGTCCAGTAGCACACAACTACTTGTAACTCCACCTCCAGGGGTTCCAAACCCTCTTCTGGTCTCCATGGACACACCCACTCATGTGTCATACATTCACTCAAACACACCTATACACATAAAAATTAAGTAAATCATTTTTTTAAAAATGCAAAGTAGGGCTGAGGAGATGGCTCAGCAGTTAAGAGCACTGACTGTTCTTGAGACAACCCAGGTTCAGTTCCAGCACCCACATGGAGGCTAATGACTGTACCGTTCATAACTCCAGTTCCAGGAGAATCTGACACCTTCTTCTGACCTTCATGGATGCTGCACAATACAGGCATACTTACATAATACAGATATGAGTGTATACTCACACATATAAAATAAAAATATCAAATAAAATAAAAAAATATTTTTTTAAAGAAGAAAATGTAGGGGGGGTGGTGGCAGGAATCTTCTGCAGCAAGACACAGAACCAAGAATCCCAACAAGAAAAAACTGACAGATTCAGGTCAGCTGCTCTGAAAGACAGAGACAAAGTAAATAGAAGGCAGGATGTAGACCAGGAAACGTATTTGTTACATGTAAAACACACACTTCCTAAATCAATAAAATCATCTAAAAGCATATAAGCAAAGGCAATTTGATTAAGAACAGCAAGAGCTTATACAGGCATGCCTGTAGTTTCAACACTAAGGAGGCCATGGAAGGAGGTGCCTCATGAGTTTAAAGCCAGACTGGGACATAAAAAGTCGCCACCACCACCATCATCATCAAAGAAAATATAGAAAAGATTCTGAGACAATGAGACATTAGTCATGATCAGTCCAGGCAAACACTAAGCACATGCAATACTGTGTATCAGGTGAGGACATGGGGACATGCATGTACTAACAGAGAAGTGTTAAAATTTGGAAGTGTTTATAATTTATAATAATGAGCCATGTCTCCTTCAATCTAGTAATTCTACCACCATGTAGCTATTTCTAGAGAAATGCTTAAGCAATTCTTCTTAATAAGAAGAATTATATAAGGATGCCTAACAATTTTATAATAATGAAAAATGGAGCAGAAATGTTCTTATGGGAATGGAAGTATAGGTTGTGGAGCATTATGTGATAGCCACAAAGGAGTTACAGCTATAAATAGTATATAAGAAAGTTCCATGTGAAATCACTTAGTGAAAAGGCAAGTATTTTAGTTTAACGGTCAGTTATATTGTTTGACATTGGTGTGAGAGTGTGTATACTAGTATACAATATGGTCTCATTTATGTACAAAACTGGAAGCCAAACTATAATATGTTTCTATTCATGTGTGAAGGCACAAAGAAAGGTCATAAGGATGTACATATGGGGTGGTTCTTCTACAGAGTGCATTGGCATAGGGAAAAGGCCCTATTTTTCCAGAAGTCATTATTTATGCAATTAAATTAGAAACAAGCATCAAGGCCTGGTGAGGCAGCACATTCACAGTTCTGCCAGCTTGCAAAATTTCTGTCCTTCACCACACAACTGCTGTCCTAAAGTGCTGGCATAGCTCTACCAGTCAACCTGGCTAAGCCTGAAGTAAGCCTACTGTCTTAGAACACATGAGCAGAAATACATTCTTATACCATTTGTTCCCTCCTGGCCCATAACTGTTAACTGAAAAAGTGACACAAAGTTTGACCAGTATTAATTCTGAAACGCCAAGGTGTCTGGCTAAAAATATCAAAATACTAAAAGCAAAACCTTTTTCCCCCCCTACTATAAGGTAAAAATAACATGTATTCCTAACTATATTCTAAGTTCATTAAAATGGATTTAAAACTTCGGCAAATGTTCTTAATGTCTTCCTAGTTGCAGCAATAGCAATGTTATTTCCCCACTTCAGATACCATAAAATTAGTGTAAGGCAAGTTTGTGTAAAACTTATTGTTTTCGCTTTACTTTTAGTAAATTTAGGCTAAATCAACATCAAATTAAGCAAAATTAAGCTTAACGCTCAAGTTTTCTGACTTCTGAGCTGAGAGTTTGTTTCTCCTCCAACAAAGGATCGCCCTCCAAAAACTACACACATTCTTAAACATCCCAACGGTGCTGCCTAAAACTGGGCGTTTCACTTCTGAGGATGACAGTACCCCATTTCACAGGCAGGGCTTGGAAAATAGCATAAGACTGAGTCAAAATCAGTTTAGGAAAAGGTGAAATTTAATATAATGATTAATGTATTTGAACGGCTGTGAAAGAAGATACTTCCCTCTTGCAGACGATGAAACCTAGAATGTTCTCTATGAACCGCCTCTGGAAGAGTCCACTTGTTCCTGAGAGAGGATTCTCCACACTTTCATTTTTAGCACGGACCCTCTATTGTCCTTCCATTTAAAAGTAGATCCTAATCACTAAACCACAGTTTAAGGGAAATATAAAGTATTTTCAATGACTTTTGAGGCGTACTAAGGCATATGTTATTCCCATACCAAATAAAAAGGGTTGTTGGGTTCTTTTGTTTTTTGGCAAAAGAAACACTTTGCTGTATATTTTACTTCTAGCTTTAAGAAAACAAACCTTACGTATCAATGTATCTTGAAGTCCTCTGAACGCTTTTTTAAAGTTTGTAAACACAGCGAAGTACTAAAATAATAAAATTCCTTTGTCCTGTACTATAATAGCCTCGCTATAGCACACCATTCTGTAAACCAGTAGAGTATTATAATCACAGGCGCGCTTGATGCTTCACCCGAGGCGGCTGGGCTGATCAGAATGCCTGTCAGGAGGGAGGAGAAGGCTGAGATCACCACAATGCCTACTGAGCATTTTCAGGCAGTCAGACCTTGGAAAAGTACAGACTCTTTCCTCCTCTGAATTCTCAGCTATGCCTGCCTCTGTTGTGAAACTTTATTGATGAAAATCGGTGGCTGAAATTGTAAGACGCGACCCTGTCTTTAAGCGACTACAGTGGTCTGTCGACCAAAGCCTGTACTGACTGAGCAAGCGCGGTGCCAAAGACAACCATGCAGCCGGACCAAGGAAAGTTATATAACAGAGACCCCGGGCAGCACCAAACGTGATCAGCCCCCAGGGTGCATCTGCCCGCCGCACAGAAATGAAAACCCGCTCTCCTTTCAGCCTTAGACTGCATGGGTACCTGCCACTATGGAGGAGATAACATTTGAAAATTCGAGAGTGCGATTGGTCCTGGTTATAAATAACAGCTTTGGTATGTATTTTAACCATTTCTAGATCACATAAAAGGCAGAATCTTACGTGGGTCACTACCTCAGGCCTGCCTGGGCATCATAAAGAAAGAAAAAAAGTAAAATGGTATTTCTTCCAGGTTTGGGAGAATCTATTTTAGCTCTTAAAAGACATGCAAGATGTCCCAAAGCAGCGGAACCCAGACTCCCTAGCTCAGGGCGCTTTGCTTGGTGCCCAGCCTCAGGGACTCTAAGCTGCCACAGTTTCAGTGAGCTTCCAGTTCCACCTGGCCGCGCAGCTTTGGTAGGTTACGAAGCACCCACTAGAGCTTTCTCCTTGTTCTGTGTCTCGGCTCCAGATGTTTTCAGGCTTCCTTCTCTACGCCGCCGGCAGGCTCTGCCTCCTGGCGCTCCATCCACACCTGGTCGCAGCACCTGGGTCCCACCTCTGGTCTTTCCACATCCCTACCTCTTCCGCGCTAGTCCCAGAAAGAGCACACTCTCCTGGCCTCAAGAGACGCCAGCCCAGTGACACCAAAAGGGCTCCCTGGGAGCAAGCTCTAACTTCCCTCCAGCTACCAGGGAGGAAAACTCGGCGTCACCGTGTCCTTCTCTCGCCTGGCCACGCGTGGTGACATTTCCGGCCCTCGGGGCAGCTTAGGCACGAATTTGCAGCACAACCTCTGGGCTCCTCGAGCCTCAGCCTCGCGCTCCCGGTGTGGCTCCCCTGGGCCAGGAGGAAACAGCCGGGCTAGGAGGAAACAGCCGGCCCAGCTCCGCCGCTGCGAGGCCGGACTATCCCCGAGCGGCGCCGGGCTGGGAGGACGCAGCGGCTGGGGAAGCGCGGCGCAGCCGGCGGCGGCTCCTCCGCCAGGGGTTAACTGCAGCTCCCGCGGGCGCGATCGCTTCCTCTCGGACCGCCCGGGAACATGGATACCGCGCCCGCAGGATGTTCGCCGGCTGGGCCGGGCAGTCGGGAAACATGAGAAGGCCTGGGTATCCCGGTTCCCGGGCCGCGCGCGCCCGTCTGGGTAAATAAAGCCGAGACCGCGACGGTGGCGGCGGTGAGCGCGTTGCAGCCAGCGCGGAGAACATGCGGCGGGGATGGGAGTGTGCCTAGTCCCGAGGTGGAACAGCCAGCCGCCTCGCCGCCCGCCCAGCGGCCATAGGTACAGCCCGGCAACCCAGCCCGGGACCGGGGGGCGCCGTCGCCCTGCTTCCGCGCCGCTGCTCCCCTGCTCGGAGCGCCTCGGCTCTGTCTTCCCTTCCCCCACCTCGGGCTGAGCTCCGGGACCGACGCATCCAAGGCGGCCTCGGCTGGCCCAGGGTCCGGGAAGCACCCCGCAGTCCACCTGGCCGCTCTCGCTTTACAGGTTCTGCAGCGAGTGAGTTCCCCAGTACACTTGGGAGCGAATCTGGGTAAGTGGAGAACACAAGGGCGGAGGTGGGCGCTGGGGACCCCTCGCGGGGGCCCAGGGAGGATTAGCAACGGCGGAAGTCGGACCCCGGCCCCCACCCCCACCCCACGACCCACTGCAAGGGTTCTGAGCTCTCGGACCTGTGCCAGCCTGTGCCACCGTGCCTGCTGTCTCAAACCTGGACCGTGGCGGTATTGCAGTTTCTGTGGCAAGGTCCGAGGTGGCCAACTTCGCCGTGGCTTCCCGGAACGCTCGCCCTGCTCTAGGACACGGTTGGGGTGGAAAGAGGTGGGGCGGCTCGGGAAGGAAGTCTTGCACAAGCAAAGAGGCGTGAACGCTAGTCACTAGAACTGGGGCTTCGGGCTCAGAAAGTTGGGTTGACACTTAGCGCCAAAAGGTGCACCCCGCAGGCACATACCTGTCCGTCTGCTCTGGAGGACTCAGTTCTAGGAGACAACGCGGCGGCCACCGCGTCACTTTCCACACTGATGGCATCACTTTCCATACTGATGGTGGCTGTCTTGTTGCTTAGTTGCTGTGGCCAGGGTCCTAAATGTCGCGCGTGGACGCTGCGGTGGCCAGAAGGCGGGGAGGGGGCTTTAGTGAGTGCAGGAGCCTCACACATCGCGAAGCTGTGTGTGTGTGTGTGTGTGTGTGTGTGTGTGTGTGTGTGTGTGTCAGAGCCCAGGAGGCAACTCTGGGGAGACCGGAGCTGTCAGGAGGTGCCAGGCAGGGAGATCCAGAGAGTGGGCACTGTCCCGAACCTCTGGCGCGTATTGCTGCTGTTCCACTGCAGCGCAGCCCTGCTCTGGCCACCTGCATGTGGCCGACCCAGCTCCCAACCGTCCCCACTCCAGAGATGAGCTCCAGGCCCTCCTGGAGCCCGGCAGCCATGGTCTGAAAGATGCTCGGGTCGCTGCTCCTTAGGCTGCAGACACTTTTACCTTGTTCCAAGTGGGCTCTGACACCCGCTCTGGGGAAGAGCGCAACCTTGCGGACTGTAATCCCTGGGGGACCCTGGACATGGCATTTTCGACCTCCCTGAACCCTGAGTTCCCCAGGAAGATTTGGGCAAGAACATGGTGCATTTGTCCTGAGATCTCTTAACTTTCCTGTTCTGGACTCCGCTCCTAACTGTCCCCTAACCTTATCCCCAACCCGGGACTTTAATGGAAAGACTCAGGGGTTTCAGCCAAACTGTCCAGGATCTAAACAAATATGGAAATTCCTGACACAAGATCTGGGATGCATATCACCCCAGACCTTCCCCTCCTTCCATCCTCTTCCCTGACCCCTGGTAGAGGCTTCCAGAGGTTTTAGTCTTGTGTTGTAATTGAAGAACAGGCGCTGTCCCTTGCTTATCCTGGTTCGCTGTCCCCAGTGTCCTTCTCTGGGACACCGGAAAGCTCGTTTGGAAATTGCTTTACCTCGGTGAGTAAATTGTCCTCGTTTGAATTCCTAGAGGTGAGGAAGCTAGATCGCTAGGGCGAGAAGGGCAGGGGCCTGTCCGGGAGTGCTGTGTGCGAATATGTTGCCAGGTGTGGATAGAAGGCGTTCCCTGGTCCACAGGCAGCAGCCAGCTCCGCCCCTCCGCACACTGGCCCCGCAGCCGCGCAGCCGCGCAGCCGCGCAGCCCCGCAGCCCAGCTTGGTTCTGGGCTCCTGAACTATGGGAATCTGAGCATTTGGGGAGTAACGTGATGCAACTTGATCTTCTAGAACCCCCGGCCTGCTGCGGAGCTCCTTGCGGCCCGGCTCGGAGGCGCTGCGGCCGGGCCGCGCGTCCCTGTCAACCGGCACCATGAACACCATAGTCTTCAACAAACTCAGCGGCGCAGTGCTGTTTGAGGACCGTGGCGCTCCGGAGCGGGAGTGCGGTGGCCGGCCCTACGGTGGCGTCCTGGATTCTCCGCACTCACGCCCGGAGATGGGCGTTCCTGACGGTCCGCCCCTCAAGGACAACCTGGGCCTGAGACACCGGAGGACCGGGTATGCCCACGCCAGCCGGGGCCCTGCAGTGCGGAGGGGTACAGGGATGAGTTGCGGCTGGGTCATGTGCAAAGTGGATCAAGGTCCGCACGTTCTCCCAAGAGGGCAGGTCTAAGCCTCCTGGGCTGGCACGTCCTTATTTTAAGGGTTTACCTTCTCTAAACAGGAGGGATGGATTCCTTAGAACAGTTCAAAAGCGTATTGTTGGAAACTGACTCTACGCCACCTGGAGGGCCCTGGGACTCGCGGACCCGTGGTAGTTTCACATCTGCGACGCCAAATGCTGGGGCAGGGCGGAGTCAGAGTCATGGAGGTTTCCATGGTGAGGCCTCGGCGGGTTCCTCTGCAACCCCAGGACCTCAGCTTGGCCTTGGGGATCTCCTGGCTTGGGACCAGATATTGGGAAGGTCGGCTCAGGCTGGGCTTCCCAAGCGAGCACAGCTCCGCCGGGCCCGCGGCGAGCCCGGAGGGGCAGGTCGCGGACCATCCCCGCCGGCCTTTGGCTCCTCCGGGTGAGGGAGGGGGCTGCTGAGGCCAGGGCTGGCGGTGGCCAGGCCACGTCGTGGGGGCTCCACCGAGCTCCGGAACCACTTCATCAGCTGCTTGTTTTGAGGAGCTGCAGGTTCCTAATAGAGAGATTAGGTTTCCTCAAAATGTTACTATTGGTGGGAGCTGGTGGAATTGCATTTCAAAGTGTTCGGAGATGCAGAATGCCGGGAGGCCAAGCGCAGCGGAGCCAGGGGGCGGCGCGCGGGTGGCTGCGCGGCGACACCTCCCGGAGCCACTCGGGAGCGCAGCACGCGACACCGGGCTCCGATGCTCTCTGCCTTCTCCTCCAGTCTGCTTTGCCTGAGGCCTTTTTCCTTTAACTGGCGGGATAGAAATTCACACTTTTCATTCTCCCTAGCAGGGAAAGGGCCCCGAGTGCTTTTTAGGCGCGGCTCTTTTTCCAGTTCCCCCTTTCCCGAGAATCGAGAATCGAAGGAAATAAGCGGGAGTTCCAAGACAGCCTAGGCAGCCATCATCCTTGGCTTTGTTTCCGCCGCCCAGTGGGCGTCCTCTGACCACTGGCGACCGGAAGCTGCAGGACCCAAGCAGGAGTTCCCCAAAGAACTTGGAGGGCAGCCCTGTCCCTAAGGCCAGGGTCAAAGGCATGGGGGACTGGTCGAGGGGGAGGGTCACTTAGTTCTGAGTCCAGATCTGCAGTGTGACAGACAAATTTCAAACCACGTGACCTTCGTCCCCAGATCTCCAAATATGGCTTATTGGAATCAAGATAGCTCCCTATTTCAATATAAATTTAGGGCCCATCACGTGATCACCTATGACCACCGGGCTATTGAGAGATGCTGAGGAACCCGTGCTCCCACTCAGAAGTTGTGGGACTTCTTTTTCCTGATTTCCCCTACCTCTGGGGTGCTTGGACCTGGAGTGCTTTCGGATAGACTTCCTGGTGTGCGGGACCGACTCTGGTTATTCCCCTCGGGCTTCCCCTTCTGAGGTTGCAGAAATGCATCCTAGCTTGGGCTCATCTCGTCCCCCTCCTCTTCCCGTGTCCCAGGACCCGGCAAAATGGTGGGAAGGTGAGGCACAAGCGACAGGCCCTGCAAGACATGGCGCGGCCGCTCAAGCAGTGGCTTTACAAGCACCGTGACAACCCGTACCCCACGAAGACCGAGAAGATACTTTTGGCACTTGGCTCGCAGATGACCCTCGTTCAGGTAATCCTGACCCCTCGAAGCCTGGCTGGGTCTTCCTGCGAGCCTCGCTGAGGAGCAGGCACACCTTGCACTCATGGTTCTCCAGGTTGCGCCCCTCCCTAGGGAAAGGTGGAGCTCCGCACTGAGAGGCGGGTCCAGACGCCCTGACTTCTGTGGAGGAGGAAGATGAAGTGGTGGGCACAGGTGCAGTGTTCTGTTGTGGGAAAGTGATTTCACACTATCGGGTCAGTGTCAGTGATGAGTCCAGAAGGAGTTAGATGATGCGCTGTTAGGGAGTGGAATGAAAGGCCAGGTGTAGGGTGATAAGAAGGTCGCTGGCCGTCTGGATTCAGGGGCCATGATGGGTAAGGTTGGTGCTACCCAAGGTGATTTTCAGTCTTTACTGTGCTCAGAGTTTCCAGGAAGTCTTTAGAACACACATCGTGGCACCCTGCCCCAGTGTTCCTGATTTTGTAGATCTGGGATGGGGCCAGTAACTTGTGCATTTCTAATAAGTTCCCAAGTGATGCTGAAGGTGCGGGTTCAGGACCCAGCTGTGAGAACCCCAGCGCCAGGGGGCATATTGAACCCCCACATTAAAGCTCTGGTACAGACCAAGTAAAAATGACCATTATTGAGAGATGGGCAAGAAGACAGGGAAAGGCACGATGTGGCATCTAGAGAATGGGACTTTTGTTGTTCTAAAAAGGAAGCATCCTGGCCTAGCTGGAACCCACAGGCTCTGTTGCTTTTCTGCTGGGCTAGGAGAGGAGAGTCCAGATCATGGGTGGATGGTTTACTCTGTCAAATGTAGAGAAGTCATATCAGCTTGTTTCTTCTCTAACGAGCAAACACTTTTATATTTAACTAGCATTTCTGAACATTTTATTTGCTATTCCCGGAAGTACAATGGTTTAGAGTGATTATAACCCACATTTTACAGAGGACATTACCAAGGTGCATGGAAGGGGAAGAGGAAGGGGAAGAGGACTCTGACTCTGGGGAATAAATTCCAGATTAAATGTTTTTCCATCACACCACAGTTTTCTTTACTAAGCACGGTGATGTAAACTTTTGTATATGCAAACGCAACATATTCAGAAAGAGGAGGCCGGCAGGGTAAGCTGGGAAACTTCATTATTATTGCAGTACTACGAGACTACATGAAAGCGTGGCCATTCCATTAAATCTGTGATAGTATAAAACTGCATTTGAAAAAATAAAAATTGCTTTCCAGAGTATTTAAAATTTCATTTAAGAATTACTGGAAAGTTTGACAAAGCTCAAACAATGACTTGTAGTAAGACTCCGTGAAATTCTGACAAGTATTTTTCTGCTTTTCAGAATATAGTTTTAGAGAAAAGCATCTGCTTTCCTTCCTATTAACAGGAAATTGTAATAACGGTGATTTGCCACAGCACTGGAGGCAAAAATCAATTTCGTATTCTTGGCTCGAGATCTGCTTAACACAAAGCTGTAAAGCTTGCAAAAGTAGTTTCTAAATAAGTTGTTACAATCAGAAAAACTTGACTTATGCAAGTAAACACATAACTCCTATGTCAATTTAAATAGGTATGCTACTTAGTCTGGATATATCCTGCTTCAGGGGAACTCAAACCAAGAGCTGAGCAATAAATCATTACCTTGTTTGGGTTGATTGTATGGCTTCACTGGAGTTCCCACATGAAGCAAATATATCTGACATATTTTAAAAACAGTTTTTAGTGATTAAAAAGTAGCATTTGTTGTTAGGAGAGAACTTTCTTATACTGTAGCGTGGTTGAGCCATAATACATGTAGTTATATTTTTAATATAGAATATAATTATTTTCTACCTGTAATGATAGTTTGAATACAAATAACTAGTCTTCACATTTATCTCAGTAATTACATTTCAAAATGTGTTATTTCTTTTACACTACTTCTCAGAAACTAAAAATACATGAAATGTAATTCTTAAATATTGCAAAGATTATTTGCAATAATAAATGATGCATGCATAACAGTGATTTCCAAATATTACCATAAATAAGGTTGGTTTCTTAAAATTTAAAGTGATAAATGGAAACACTGAAATGTATAAAATTATCACCAAGGACCCTTATCCATCATAGATTCAGTTATTTTCAACTATGCACAACGGTATACCTGTGTAAAAAATACGTAATATGCTTATATATTCACACACCCATCTATCTGTTTTTATATATAGGAATTTATATAAGTCAAACATAAATTCGACATCCAAAGCATATTCTGACTTTATGGAAAGCTGCATAAATTATGTAAATACTTTATACTTCTGGGGGAAGAATCCAGAGCTATGATTTGAGTCAATCTTTTGATCTCTGCAAATTAGACCTTGTTATGAGTCAGACTCTCCTAGTGAATCAGTTTCTCCTGTGGAGTCATCCTTCTTGAGAAGAGGGTCATGCCTTATTCATGGGGTTCACCCCATAGTATGGTGCTTTCCACGAAGCACGCTATCCTTAAGTATTTATAGAGTGAATAGCTTTCTTCTGGGAAAGGATATTATAGTCCCTACATAGCTTTCCAAAATGTCTTTCTGAAAACTGAAGAATTCTTGAACTGTGGTTTTAGTTGTCAGACATCTTAGGGAGCACACAGAGGACAGCTTTTGACTTGAATACTGTAGGAGAGTTCTACAGACAAGCAGAGCTATGGCCCGTTTTACTTTCGAAATATCTGCGTGTATAGTTTACGTATGTGTGCAGACAGGCATGGAGGCTGCCTTTCTTTATCTCTCTCTCTCTCTCTCTCTCTCTCTCTCTCTCTCTCTCTCTGAACTCTTGTTTCTTGTTGACTGCAGTGGCTCCTCTCTCTTCTTCCTCTTGGTCAGAGCAACAAGGTGCCACCATAACTTTTATTTCTCAACAAAAAATAGCTGAACTTGGGGACACTTATTTTGCATTTAACATGAATTTTAGGCCAAACGTTCCCTATACAGTCACTTTACTTTCCAGACATCTCCCATGAATCCTAGAAGTAAAAAGATGCAAATGTTTTAGTATTTTTTTCTGATACATAGAATCTCTGAGGACATTAATCAACACCTACACTCTTTCATCCCTGAAAAATGAAACAGTAATAAGTAAAGTGTTTCTGCCACTTTCATCTATTTCTGTTCTTTCACCTTAGCAATTTGGTCCTGGTTTGCTATAACTGTGCTTATCTTGTATTTCCATGTGGCTTCTTAAAAAAGCATTTTGATAAGTACTTAAGAAGGAGATTATTTCTCTGTGTGCATGCTTTGATTTCAACCAAACAAAATACTTCACTGTGCTTGGTTCCTATCACTAACCACTGTTCATAAATTATAAAAAATGCTATGCACTCAAAGTAGGAATAGCTTGTGTTAATATGCAGCAATACAAAGTTATACGTGATGGGAACTTTGTATTATTGTAAGACATGGAACTGATCAAGGATCAATGACTGATTGGGATTAGGGCTTCTTCCTCTCATAATACAAGTTTCAAATTCCTGTGGCGTGTTCATGTACTATTTGGTAAAAGCACTGTATTGCAAGATTTCATCCCCAACATTGGCATGCCTCTGTTTTTGCTAGAAGTTGAGTACTTATTTTGAAATAAGTATGTCTTGTCAATTACAAGGCTTCCCACATCCGTTATTCTACGTGCTATAGGGAATGGAAATGAGGTGCCCAATATTTCAATCCAATAACCCAGACTAAGTTTGTTAACTTGGTGTGTTCAAAGGTGGACAGAAGCCAGTCCGTCCCTTTGGGTGCATACAGCTCTGTCAACAGGATGAATGTAAACATCTCTGGTAGAAGAGGATGGAAATTAGTTTTCTCTTCCAGCTTCTAGATAGTTGGCTTCTAAGCTTTCACATAAAATATGTCGTTTTAAAAGCAAACACTGATTCTGACATTAAAATGCTGTTCCAGAACCCACCCTTGATAAGGATACCTGTTTTATGTAAAATATAATTTAAAGAGACTATGCATGTTGACATAGGAGATCTGTATTACATAAGATGTAGAAAATGTGTGTGTTTTCACTGCCATTGAAACAAGGAATCTGCATTAAATTACTGGGGGGAAAATTGCAAAATAATAGGCAAATTCACTAACTGTTGATGTGTCTGCTGTTCACAGGAGTAGATATTAAACACCTCAGGCTGGACCCAGCTATTAGGTTGTACTGTAAATTTCTGGTAATAAAACACTGGCAATGTGCGTTTGTTAACAGATTTGGTGCCAGTCAAACTTATGAAATCAGTTTAGAAATAGCCTATGTTAGATATCACAGACCTTTATGGAAAAATCTCTTAATGTCATTACAATATGTTAAGAGCTTAGAGTACATAAAACATTAAAAAGTATGTGAAAGTACCCTGTATATGAAAAGCTAATTAATCCCCCATGGCTCTTAAAGGTATCTCCATTTTTGTACATTAGAATTATAGTGTACTAATTTTTTTTAACTAGCAGGCCATTCTGTTTTTATTATATGAAGTGTCATAAGAATTGGGTTTTACACTGTACCGTATGGGTACAGTATAAGTTGGTTAACATTGGTTAAAATCTAACTAATGCATTCTGAGTTAAATATTATTTAGTAAAGAAAGTAACACAAAAAGTTTGGGAGTTGGAACCTATGAAATGTGAGTGATACAGGCATCGAAGCTGTAGGCTGACCTCTGTGTGAACAGTGAACAGGTGGGCGTGACCATATGCGCTTGATTCCAAGGAGTAGTGGTGAGATTAGGTGGGTTGTACCAGCTGTGAAGGGTATGGAGCCAGCTTAGGCTGTTTCCACAGGTCTCTCTGTGTGTTTTTTAGCGTTGATAAGGCTCTCAGAAACTATCTGATCCATTTTGTAGTAGATGAAGGAATTGTTGTTGTTGTTAATGCTGAAGATCAAACCTAGAGATTTGCATGTGCTAGGCAAGTGCCCTATCTCTGAGTTACACGAAAGTCCCTGACGAGTATTTTCAGTTCAGAGAAAGTTGGAATGACTTGACTAAATTTACATGGCATGGCATGTTTTTGGCAAAATCAGAACAGGAAACCAGTACTCTTTTCATTATTCCACTGTCACAGACTAGCAGGACATCAGTGAGGGTTTTGAAGAAGCAAAGTGATTAAGTCATAATAATATACTGATGTGGGGCTGGAGAGATGGCTCAGCAGTTAAGAACACTGGTTGTTCATACAGAAGACCCTGGTTCGAAACCCAGCACCCACGTGGCAGCTAACAACTGTCTGTAACTCCAGTCCCAGGGGATCCAACAGCCTCTTCTGACCTCCATGGGCATTGCACAACACGGGTGCACTTACCTACATGCAGGCAATATACGCATACACATAAAATAAAAGTAATAAGTAAAATAAAATAATACACTGACATTTTGATTTGATGATAGTTGTTAAGATCCATTTAAGAGAGCAGAGTGGAAACCAGGGAAGCTTGAGCGACAGTTTTTAAAGTTCCTGGTTAGTTGTCAGGAGGATTGATTGAAAATTTTGACAGTGTAAGAGCCAGGGAGGAAGTACATGACCACATGGAAATAGAGTCCTACAAGCTCCTGGGACACTGTTCATGTGAATCTACAGCAAAGGTATTACTGTTCACAAGTCACATGTAAACTCAAGCAGACAAAAACCCAGCATACAGCTGGGGAAATGGACAGCAGACCCCAATCTTAAATCTTAGCTGAAGAAATATTGGCAACTGATTACTGCTGGGTGAGGAAGAGCTGATCTTCCTAAAGCAAGGGATTCTAGATAAGCTGACTAGACCTCAGTAGATGAGCTTGCATTAAGGAATGTCTGGAGATAGTAACTTGACACAATAGGTCTTAACACAAATGACAGAATGGATGAATTCCAATGGGGGGGGGACTATTGGAAGGTGCCAGTGGGGACGGGGCTATAAGGATGATTAAGGTTGATTGAGATGGTCTGTATGAAATACACAAAAATTCAATAAAAACAAATTTAAAAGAAAATTTGACAGTGAGTTGGGGAACCAGAGGGAAGGATGGGGAAAGTAGTGAAGAAAGGAAACCAGCTTCTGTAGTGATGGATACGGTCCCAATTAATCACAGTTACTTTGGGATCTCAGGGGAGTGCATGATGTTTGTAGATTCTGGTACTTTTTGGTGAGTGTGTGCATATGTGTGTGCATATGTGTGTGGGAGTGTGTCTACATGTGTGTTTGTGTATGTGTGTGAGAGAGAGAGTACATGTGTTTGTGTGTGTGAGAGAGTGTGTGTGAGACAGAGTATGAGAGAGAGACAGAGACAGAGACAGAGAGACAGAGAGGGTTGAGATGGCCTTGCCAAGGCCTGGCACTTCACACCATGGCTAGCATACAATAACTACTCACTCTGTATTTGTTGAATGAATAGTTCTGGAAGTTGCCTATTTGTGGAGGATGGAAAGAATGAGAATTGGAAGCATGTCTGAACCATAGTAGTAACAGCATAGCTTGACCAGAGGAGAAGTTGATAAAGACTAAGGTTTCTGCAGTAGCATGGTGTGCTGGCATGTCACTGCACACAGGTGTACAAGGACAGCTGTCATGGTTTAAGGCAGAAGGAGGTAATGTGAGCATCATCACTGTTGAGTTTATGTGAAAAAAATTAATGTGCTAGACTTGAGGACAGGGAGGAAAAAAGGTAATCGTGCTTTAAAATTTTTTTATTATTTATTTATTTATTTATTTGGTCTTTTTGAGACAGGGTCTCCCTGTAGCCCCAGCTGTCCTGCCTGCCTCTGCCTCCTGAGTGCTGGGATTAAAGACGTGCACCACTATGCCCGGCTATTTTTTTAAATTTTTTTAAAGTAGAAATCACTGCCATTTCAGACAATAATTAGGAATTGACCAATGTGCAAAAGTATTTATTTATAATATTTATACTACACTATAAATACCATAAATGTATTTTTAGTAATGACTAGTAAGAAAAGAAGAAAGACTCTTCCAGTGAAAACATCACCACATGAACCATTACAGCAATAGAAGTTTACATTCTGGAGCAAATTCACAGAAAACTTTAACTATATTTGCCCATTTTGTACTTTTAAAAGTGAATGTCATCCTTTGAACTTTTTAAAGCTATATACTCTTGATATTCTGATATTTCAGAAGAAAAGTACATGTTCTCTTGAAAAGTGCCTTTGTCCTCTTGAAATCCAATAGCACCTTAGAGGAAAAATGGAAGCAGTTTTTCTTTGTTTTGGAATGTCACCTAATTGCCTTCAACGATGTGCTGCAGAAACAGTGTCTTCAGCGAGGTGTTCTTTGTGCCGTCTCTAACTGTTCTGCTAGCCCCTCTTTTAATAGTCCAAATTCCTTGACTGGTTTCCGAAGCCTGGCCCTACACTTTCTCCACTCTGCCTATTCACAGCTTCAGCTCTCACCTCTGTGCCTGGAACTCTCAAATCTGGTCCTCCCTTTAAGTCTCAGAAACACCTTTTCTTTCCTTTCCAGACAGCTGTCTGTGTGCTTCTCTAGCACCTAGCTCATCCCTAGGCTGTCTTTATTTTTCAAAATAGTACACAACACAGGCTGGATTACTCAGCATCATCTTCAACTTCCTCCATTGATGGTTGCTGTTCTCTCTCTCTCTCTCTCTCTCTCTCTCTCTCACTCACTCCTTCCCTCTCTCTTTCTTCTCTTCTAATTTTTAAAAAATTTTATTTATTATTTATTTTTTTGTTGTTAATTATTTATTTAATAACCACATACTTAGAAGAAGCATTTCATTACAACAGCATTGACATATGCAAGGATATCATCTCTTTCAGAATTGGCTGTAAACTTTTAGATTTACAGTTGAATTAATAGTTATACAATATTGTACTCAGTATAAACCCTGTAAGTCATAAAGTTAAATGAGGTTTTAACCTTTAAAAAAGATCTCCATTTCATTATTAAAATACAGTTTCATACAGAAAAATTCATTTTCAATGCAATTGACACTAAGATGCTTTCACACGCGTTTCTAATCTCTATATATCTGATTATTACTAGTGATAGTTACTTTCTGAGCTCCTTGGCATCTGATCATGGATATAGAGTCATCAGGTAGATTTCAATGGTAGTGTTTATCACCTCTACTACTTCACATGACATACATTTTTATGCTTCCTCCTCAATACTACATGATTAGAAGAAGCATTTCACTACAGATTTAGGGCCTCGCTTTGTTCTTTGTTCCCAGGCTGGCCTCCTAATCCTGTCCTTGAGTGATCCTCCTGGTCAGCCTCCTATGCAACCAGGACTACAATGCAGCATTACCACGCCCGGCCCTAGATTCCTTTAGAGGAAGTCATTGATAATGAGCCACATTGTAATGTGATTTTCATTAAAAAGTGAATCCTGTTTCAGGTGTCAAATTGGTTCGCTAACGCTAGGCGTCGGCTGAAGAATACTGTTCGGCAGCCGGATTTAAGCTGGGCCTTAAGAATCAAGCTATACAACAAGTACGTGCAGGGCAATGCTGAGCGCCTCAGCGTGAGCAGCGACGACTCCTGTTCTGAAGGTTTGTTCAGTTCTTTGTTTTTCCTTCTTTGCTTTGCCTTTGTGGTTAGAAGTTCACCTCAGTTGCTTTTTGAATGGTTGAACCCACGAAGTATGATAGAGCGGTAGTCGTTTTTCTCTGCATGAGGTAACTTCACCTTTGCCATTCTATATATCAGCACGAATTATAGTCTTCTGTTTATAGATTTATCTCATATCAACATGACATTTTCTGTGAAATTCACTGGAATTAAAATATACTAAGAGAATATTAAATAGGTTCCTGCTTTCTTTTACCTGAAAGTGAGTCTTGTGATTATCAGAGATAACTATTGATGATAATTTCACATGGCACAGATTCTTACCTTGTTTGCATTTCTAGTGATTAAGTGTAGCAGTTGAGCAGTGGGGGAAGAAAACGTGCAAATACTACCTGCTGGTATCTTCCCCCTTAGATGGAGAAAATCCTCCAAGAAACCACATGAGCGAAGGGAGCTATAGCACCCCTGTCCATCACTCTGTGATTAAAGGAGAGAGCTCAGTGATAAAGGCTGGAGTGAGGCCAGAGTCCAGGGCTGCCGAGGACTACGTATCCCCTCCCAAATACAAGAGCAGCTTGTTGAACCGCTACCTCAACGACTCTTTGAGACACGTCATGGCCACAAGCACTGCCATGATGGGGAAAACAAGGCAGAGGAACCATTCGGGGTCTTTTAGCTCCAATGAGTTTGAAGAAGAGCTAGTGTCTCCATCATCATCGGAAACAGAAGGCAACTTCGTCTATCGCACAGGTAAGCCCATGCTCTATTATAAGGACTGTGGCCTTGTGTAAAACGGAAATATAACTGCAGCAGAGGGGGCTTATCATAGCAGGTATAAGATTAACATAAGGTTGCCCGTAATTCTAATATAAAGCTTTTGCTTTGTTTTAAATTGACAATTGATGTATTTGTTAGTAGATGATCTTGGGAATTCTGAGGTATCTTGCTCTTTAATAATAAGGATAAATGTTTTCATTCTTTTCAAATTTTTACTTAATTTTTTATGTGTATGGGTGTTTTGCCTGCATGTATGCAAGTATACCATGTGTATGCAATGCCTGCAGCAACCAGAAGAGGGTGTCAGATCCCCTGGAACTGGGGTTATAGACAGTTGTGAGCCTCCATGTGGGTCCTAGGAACTGAACCCAGGTTTTCTGCAAGGACAACCAGTGCTCTTAACTGCTGAGCCACCTATCCACCCACATGTTTTCATTCTTAATGACAATTTCATGATGATAACAATATTTCTTCATTTTTTGTGTGTGTAGCATACAAGTCTGTGTACACATGTGTGTACAGGTATATGCAGTTGTGTGTACCCCCAGAGGCCAGGTGTCTTTCTACACTTTCTGCTTTGAGACTTGATCTCTCACAGAACCTGGAGTTAGGCTCGTGGTCAGCAAGCCTCAGCAATCCTCCTGTCTCTGCCATCTGAGCAGGCACTGGTCTGGCCATGCTTGGTTTTTTTATGTGGGCACTGGAGATTTGAACTCCGGTCCTCCTGCTTATATAGCAAGTGTTCTTAACCACTGAGCCACCTCACTACCTGGATGGTAAAAATATTTGAAGTGTGCATACTGTCATGTATGAGTAGCCCATATGATGGAGAAATGTACTGGATTTGGCCAGTCATGCAAATGCTTTATGTTCCATCTTTTCTTTACATACTTTGATTGCTATAGTGATAGGAAATGAATACAAATTAATACACAGGCCAAATTTTTCTGAAGGAAAAAACACAAGTCTGGATCCATTAGCTTTGGAAATTTTACTTTCATTCCTGGAAAGTACAAGTAGGGCTGATAAATAGCTTTGAAATTTTTACATTGGTTCCAGAAATAATGAACTGACTTTTGACCTGTCCAAAACATTCAGATGGAGTAGCGGGTTGGTAAAGTTTCTGTCTTGACTTTAACTCCGAGAGAGCTTTGCTTTTAAGAAGTGTTTGAGCAGGTTACTTTGGAACAAGGTAGAGGTGTGACCTACGTCTGGTATATATTCACCCTGGCTCCTGAAGATACCAGTAAATGAGCTTTAATGTTAGATCTGGAAACAGCTTCAGAAAATATCCAGCCTAGCCACGTTAAACCACAGATATGGAAACCTGCCAAGAACACATAGTAGTTACTCTCTAGCTGAACAGCTCAGCTGAGCCTGCATAAGAGATAGGAGGGGCATCTGTATCAGCACAGTGATTGCATCTACAACTGCCAGTGATTCACTGCCATTACCTTACTTCCACCAATCACTGGCTGTCTTTATCTTGTTCCCATCAATTGTTTCCTGAGACTCTTTCCTACTACCACCCATAATAATGATATTTTCAGCAAGAATTCATTACCATGTGCTGAGAACCAGGACAGGTGTTTGAATTATCTTCTTTTAGAAGAATGGGGTAGGAAGGCTGGAGAGATGGCTCAGCAGTTCAGTTCCCAGCACTCACATAGCAGCTAACAACCATCTGTAACTCCAGTTCCAGGGATCTGATGCCCTTTTTAGATCTCAGGCTTGTACAACACTGCCGCATTACATACATGCAGAAAATACACTCATATACATATAATAAAAATAATGAACTAAATTAAATTTAAAAAAGAATAGGGTAGATAATTTCCTGCCTCTGGAGGTTTTCCTTAAACCACTAGAATTTAGTTCAATTCTTTTTTTATTAATTCATCCAAAGAATAATTTTGAAATTCCATCATATGACAGAGACGAAGTCAGAAACATCCAAGGTGAAAACCGTAGCCACAATGAGTGACCCTATCAGTTTCCTTAGAGGACCCGCAAGTATATGATGGCAGGAAGAGAAGACAGGGGTCTGGATGTGCTTCTTCTACACCTGGTCCATTGATGGAGATGACTGTGGTTGGAAGGCTCTATGGCATGGTTTAACTCCTATAGTAGTTCTCTTACTGCCACAGCCATTTACTGAGTAGTTATAATACACTAGGCCCTGTAACTGTACCATACAGTTTTTACACAACCCAATACTCATGGTAGTGAGCAGCATGGTATGTAAACAGTGGGGCTCAGAAAAGAATTCAGATTTAAAATACTGAATTCAGATTGTTTAGCCAGAAATCTCATTCTAAAGTATCTACAAATGTGAACAGATCTATCGCCTCTAAAGTGATATCAGAGAAAATATCAGGACATTCTTAAAAATGTAAATCAACACCGTTTTCATTTGCATCACCACCTCCCACATCGAAGCAAGTCCAAGCACGCAGAAACACAAATACAGCCTCATAAGGAGTAAATGGGTATAAGATGAAGTTAAAAGGGAAAGCCTTTTAGCCAATAACAAAACTGAAAGAACTGCAATTCATATCTAATGGGATCAGAGCAGAACTTGGTGGTAACTCAGTTTTATAACTATTTTATGATAAAGGAAAAGACATCAAGAAATTCAAATACAGGTAGCCAAAAGGAGGAGGAAAATAAAGTAAAAAAAAAAAAGGTAAAATGAAAAGTTGGAAAATAAATGAATCAAAAGTTTGAAGACAACAATAAACAGAAATGATCATAGATTAAAACTGGAGATGACAAAGGAGGTTCAGAAATGAGCATATAGTTTTTAAGCAGAAAATATGTTTTAATCAGGAATAGGCTGGTGAGACTGCTCAGTGATTAAAGCCCTTGCCACACAAGCAGCATGCCTGAGGACCAGAGTTTGGATCCCTAGCACTCACTTGAATGCCAGATGAGTGTGGCAGCCCGGCTGTAATTCCAGCCCTTGGAAGGTGGAAACGGGATCCCAGAACAAGCTGGCCAGCTACACTAGCCCTCTCAACCTGCTCTGGGTTGTATAAGGTGGAGCGTGATTGAAGAAGATTCCCAGTGTCAACCTCAGGCCACCACATGCACACACATACAGGACATGCCACCATGCACATGTCCAAACACACATACACCTGACAAATTCACGGAGTACGGTGCACTGTTGTTTGACAGTATGCCATCTCTAACTGTACATGTGAAATGAATTGCTACTAGCCATATGAATAAGTTTGCAATTCATAAGTAAGAAAAGTTTTAAAAGAACAATAACTCAGGAAAAATTCAAGTTTTTATAAAATCCAGTTCCCAGGATGTTTAAACTGATTGTTCTACTGTTCCAAACTTTGAATAAATAATTCCTATGTTTTGTATATTTCTCTGGAATATTTAAAATTATAACAGGTGCCTCCATGTTTTAAAAATGTAAATGTTATCCTAATTCTAAACCATATTAACATAGTATGAAAGTAAAATTTTCTACTGAGTATGGAGAGAGAGATATTTATAGTTCAAGGAATTCAAAACTGTAGAAACAATTACAACAGTACAAATGTGCACCAACAGATGGGACAAAGGGGTTTTTGTTTTGGAAAAAAATAAATTATTGAGGTGTATTATTTAGTGATTGGTTATTTAAAAATAAAAAATTTCTTATAAATCTATTTATGTTATCCAATACAAACACGGTCCTATGCCTGCAAAATGCCCACTGTGTTGAGTCCTTTAAAATGCATGCTCTTTTCAAAGGTGACAAAATAGTCAGAAGGAATGTCATGTCTGTTGGCTATTTGGGCTGTTTATTTTTATTGTAGCACTCCAAAAGCACTTGATCTGTGAAGCACTATGCATATGCCAGGCCCTATTCATACAGAAAGCCCATGAGTCATTCAGTCAGTAGGAAAGCAAACTAAACACATAAACTTTTGGTTTTTGATGCATGTGTGTGAACTTAAAAAGAATGGCCTGAATTTTTTTCTTAATTTTCAGGCATGGAGAAGAGAGAGAGGGTGATGGCTTAAAGTGACCAGCTAAGTTTCAGGGCAATCAATAAATGACTGTTTTCAGATGACAGAGTTATAGCTGGATTAACATTTGTGCAGGAACCGTAGCAGCACAGGGACTCGGGAAATACTTTCTGAGCAACTGCAATGGTCTTTCTTGACATGCAGGCTCACTCTGAATTCTACACATCCATCAGGCTATATCTTTCTTTCCTCATCTAAATAGGACATTTCTGAGTCTGCTATTAACTCACACCCCTTTCACCACCTCGCTGTAGCAGGTAGAAAGACTTTACTCCGTTTCTTTTTAATAAATACTCTAAGCATGACTTGTTCATTTATCTTGGCTAAGAAATTTTATCTACCCATTTTTGTTGCTGTTAAGAAAATATTTCATTAAGCATATGGCGTTAAGAAGCAAAATGAAAGTTGCTATGTAGGGTGATCATAGATCACTGAATTTTATTTCACCCATTCGTGTTAAATCCTCAGAGGGAAGAGAGAGACTATAGATTATAAGTAGTACCCTTAACTGAAGATAATGCTAGAAATCATCAGAGCATAAATGTCTTGATTTTTATGTAAACAGTATTTTTCTATTTTGCAACCTTGGGCATTGTGCCAAGGACGTAGAAGGCCCTCAGTAGATATTCACTGCAACATTTCGAATACAACTGATCAGAGTTCCCAGCATTGTTGCTTATAAATACAATTGAGTAAGATGAAAGGAAATCAGTTCCTCAGTGTGTCCGTGGGAGAAAGACTGCTGAGTTAAAACAGCAATTCGTTTCCATGCCGTTAGGTTAATGAATGAGGCTTTGCATTACTGATATCCCAGCCTCAGGTGACAAAGTGGGCCGGCGGTATCAGGATAAAGGACTGTAGTCATCTTTCATCCACTAGTCCTGTCTCCTCCTTACAATCTCCACAGGGACCATCTGTGTCACCTCACAGAACGAGTTCTCA